GTAATCAGATTTGAGTTTATAGAAGATCACTCTGACCAGTAGCTTGACAATGACTAGAACAGGCAAGAGTTGGGTTAGAGAGATCAGTTGGAAGGCTGTTGAGGTAACATAGGCAAAGATGATGGAGGTTGGGACTAGGGAACCTGGATGAAGAAGGTACTCAGAGGATGGGTTTGAGAGGTGTCTCAGGGGTAGAATGGCAGGACATGTTGCCAAGCTGGGCTTTTCTACTAATCCTGTCCCACTGTGACCTTCTCCTGCAGGTTGCCCTGTAACCCATGCTCCACATCTTCCTGTTTCCCTTGTGTGCCCTCCCCCTGTGTGCCACGTACTGTGTGTGTGCCACCCACTGTCTGTGTACCTTGCTCACCCTGTCCCCCTGGCCGCTACTGAAGTCCTTCAGGGCTGGTGGATCCTGGAGGGACTGGAGCTGGGCAACCTGGTGTCTCTTCAGGCCGAGCCTGATCACAGTTCAGTGAGCAAAAGAGCAGAGCCAGCCTCAACCATCAAGGAAGACCCTGAGCAGAACAGGAAGTGGACTGTCCTCAACATGTTGGGATATTACAGGGAAGCTCTAGCCCCACCTCTTCTGGAAGGTGGAAGAGGGGAAGATTAGGGAAGGAAATTAGGGAAAAAATAGGGAGGAAAGACATTTGTAGGATAAGACAGAGCACACATGAACAAAGATTAGAAGAAAGTATTAGCTTGGGGGGAACCGAAAGACTTGTAGCTGGTGGCATTTGAGATAGGTCTTGAAGGTTAAATGGGATGTCTTACTTGAAGTGATTTTTACCTGTTTATGATATGATGTATAGTATTCTCAACTGGACTTGTCTGAAGCGTATTCCATGTTGGGTAAATTCACTTTACAAGCTCAGTGATGTATAGTTATCAAATGTATAAAATAAATGAAAAGAAAACTGCTCCTTCTATTTCCATGGGTAAACTGTTCTCTCTGGTGATGTTTCTGGTTGTCTATGCTGCCACACAGAGCATGTATTCTTAGTAGACTGGGAAATAAAGCTGTATTCGTGGCCCTGCAAGCATGTCCATTTCTCTCTTTCTGTCATTTGTGCTGCTATATCCACAAGCCAATTATATTCAACTGGGCTCAAGAGAAATGTGCTGAATTCTATATTTATTTTTATATCCCTTCTGTTTCCATAGAAGCTTGAGAGGTGTTCACCAAAAAGGCCCACATGCCATAAGCCAGTTAAAACCAGGCAACCAGTCTAGAGCCAAGTAATAAAAGAATAAAGAGAAGATGGAGATAATTATGCCAGAACTCTAGGCCAAACAACTGCAATTGAGAATAATACTGTAATGAACTCACCACTCAATCTCATTACAGTTGGTACAATGGGATCATTTATTCACCCCAAAGTCTTCACTGAGTGTCTGCTAAGTGCAGGTTCTGTGTTAAGGGTTGTATAACTCAAAAGACCCTAGACACCTTATTAATAATGCCTCATTTAATCCTTGCAACAGTCTATGAAAGAAGTATCATTATTTTATCCACTTTATAATGAGGCACGGAGAGGCGAAGAAATGTGCTGGAAGTCACACAAAGTTAATAAGTGGTGGATCCAGGCCTCAACTCAAGGCCTTTAGGTTCCAGAAATGCTCACCCAATTCATTGCCAGTGCCTTTACTATTTGCAAACTATGGCCGGGTACAGGCAATACTCAAAAATGCAAATGATCTCCACATCCAAACCCTTATAAGTAGAGGGGGAGCTAAGATCAGTGCCTGTAAGGTCCTGCTCCTTCCTCAATAAGGGTCGTGTTACAATCACAGCAATAGCAACCACAATGACAATTGCTACTAATTATTGAGTGCTTATAATGTACCAAGTTCTGTGTTGATTATGTTACATAAATTAACTTATGTAGTTTTACTACACCTTTTAAGGTAAGCTTCATGTTCATTTAAGATATGGGAAACCAAGGTTCAGAGAGTAAGTCAGTTGTCAAGGTTATATGCAAGGACAAAGATTTGAACTCATATCTAGCTGCATAACAGTGTTATGTTAGCCATTTTGCTATACTGCAAACTCGTATACAGAAAGCACACATGAACAAAGATTGGTAGAAAGTATTAGCTTGGGGAGAACTGAAAGTCTTCTTGTAGCTGGTGGCATTTGAGATGGACCTTGAAGGTTGAATGGAAGGTCTACAGAGCAGATGATAGAAAGATGTGTGTGGGGTCTGTAGGAGAGCAGAAGTCAAGTTTGGGAGACTTGGAGTGTCCCTGTTAGCTGGGGCAGAAGATTCCTATAAGAGACTAATGAGAAAAAAAAATTCAAATGAAAGTAAAGTATTGGACTGTGGCGGGCCTCAGCTACTCCAAGAAGAGCCTGGACTCTATTCTGAAGGCAGTGGGAGGGTTGCTGCAGGATTTGAGCCCAAGGATGATATGACCAGAGTGGTATTCCAAAAGTTTCACCACAGAGCTTAGATGGGATGACTGAGAGGTAGGGAGAAAGTTAATGGATAGTCTGTGAAATAAGTCAGTCAGGTCCCAGCTAAGACAATGATGGTGGTCATGGAAAAATAAGGGATCAGTCTGAGACTTGGTGAAGGACCTGACTTGGTAATGGATTGGCCATGGCAGGAAAGAGGAGAGAGCCAGGAAGAGGAATTGTGAACATCTTTCTGAACCTTACCCACAAACACACAGTTCTTCCTTAATGAGCTGAGATGAAGTTTTTCTTAAGTATTTTGCCCTTGGGCCTTGCCAAGAAATGATCAAGAATGGATTGGATCCTGTAGCTGTCCGGGGGCTCCCCAGACATGATCTTGCATGCATACCTGGCAGATAAAGTCATTAGCCTAACAACAACGAGACACGAACACACAGCTCAGCAAGCTGTGCGGCCTGGTTAGTGGTGGGTAAAATTTCAATGAGCTGAAATGCCAAGGGTGAGGGGCATTTGGGTAATTGAATTTCTTGTAACTATGCAAACCAGGAATCCCATGGTTTTATCTCCTTTGCAGAACTTTTCTACAATGTGCTCAGTTTGTTAAATCTAATAGACTGAACAGACCAAATCTGGATTTTGAGAATCCTAGATCTGTTCTGTCCAATGTGGTAGGCACTAACCCCATATGGTATTTAATTTTTAACTAAATAAAACTGAAAAATTAATGTTAGTCACAGTAGCCATATGTGGATAAGTGTACCAATGAGACATCGAAGATAGAAAATACTTTCAGCACCACAGAACATTCCATTGGACATAGCTGTCCTAGACTCTCAGAGCCAGAAGACACCTTCCAAATGATCTGGCTCATGCTGCAGACAAGAAGTCTAAGACCCAAGGAGATGGAAAGATGTGCTCACAGACACACAACCAACAGGTGGGAATCAAAGCCAAGTGCCTTGATGCCAAACCCAACAGGTTTCTTCAAGCTCTTTATGCGTTCTCCAAGCATTCACAGTTTGTTATTATTTCAGGCTAATAAATATGTCTCCTTTCTGCTTCTTTTGTTTCCCTAAGAATGGAGGCATTTTCTCTGAGATGCTGAAACTCTTTCCTGGGTCTATGGCTCCTTCTAAAAAAAAATACAGCAAACTCAGAATCTGCTTGTCCTTTGAACATTTGGCTCAGTAAACACAGACCTTTGGTTGTGGCCAGGAGCTGTGGCGGGAGCAATTGCACAGAAGTTGCAGTCTGGGGATCCAGAACTCTAGCTCCTGTGGAAACTTCAGCAGGCTCCTTTTCCCCTCGCATATATTGTCCAATATACCCTGGTCCTTATTTCCACGCCTGTGTGTCATTCCAACTTGCCAAGTCCTGCCTGCCCACCCAAATATCTATTAAAGCTTTTTATATGAAACCAAGCCTGGCACATCCAGGGTCAGGAGTACTGCCCCCTGCTGGAAATGGATGGCCACCACTATCCAGGCCCCCACATGGTACTTCCAAGCTAGAGACCTTGTGAGCTCCTGTCAGACGCATCTCTCTTACTGATGGTGAGGAAGCCATGGTTGTAGGTTGTGGGAACTATTTACACCCCACTAGTACCAGGACTTCCCAGAAACAGGACTCAGGGTTACCACATGGAGATTCTCAGAGAAACTCTCTCTTCATATCAAAGCCTGTGAATTTAATTAGCTCTGCTTTATAGGGAAGCGTGGGCAGGGCTACTGTGAAGTAATAAAACTCTGCCATATTTGATGTTTGGGAGAAACTTTCACAGATCCCAGGGCTTCTCCTGGAGTGGAATTGGGAAAGAGAGAATTTATTTTTCAAAGAGACTACTTTTCCCAAGGCGATTGGAGGCTGGGCTTCCTCCTGTCACTCACTGTTCTAGAGCAAGGCTCCTCTTCTTGGGCTGAGCCTAAGGCCTGTTTGAACAGAAATGTCATTCAGGGACGCAGTAGCCAGAGAGTACCACTTCGTAAGAGGAGGCCCCATAGTAGAGATGCAGGAGTTGGGCATAGTGACTGGGAGATGGGGGTGTTTTGAAGTGTACCGAGTGGACTTTTTCTCCCTATGATATTAGGAAAACTTTTACAATATGATCACAGAAGGATGTACCTCTTCCAGGCTATAACCAGGAAAGTCATCACTAATAAAACAATTCTCTTGTGTTTTATAAATTTGAACACTTGAATGCAATAATTTCAGTTTGGCTAGAGTGAAAGTTCCCATGATCACTTGATGTCTATCTCTTTTGAACAATTGGTGAAGATAAGTTTATCTCTAGATAGTAGTTTCCCTTAGCCATAATACGTAGACAATCTCACAAAGGAGCTTCTTGGTCTGATGGAAAAGAGTGGATTTGGCTTCAGAAAACCTGACCTAGAATCCCAAGTTCAACTTCTGACATGCTGGGTGATTTGGGGAAACTTTTTAATCTCTGTGCAACTGAACTTCCTTCTTCTCTTTTGAAAATGGGGATAATTCTACTTCCTTCACAGGATTATAGGGATATAATGCCTATCAAGATGCCTGTCTATTGTAAGGGCTTAATAAATATTGGTTAAAGAAGACTGTTTTGGTAACAAATTTCCCCTCTCTTTTGATTTTCCCCAGTGACAGTGGAAGCTGAGTCACTTTTTGGGGCTATTCTAAAGCCTAAGTTTCAGGAACAAGAGCAGCAGCAGCGGCACACACGCAGCCTGCTTTGCTTTAGAACATTGGGATGATCTTCCAGTCTTGGTCTAAATGCCCTGATAGAGTGGAAGCCCCAGTGTCTGAGGCTCAGTGCCCAGAGCTGGAGTCCACCTGAGTGTTTGCCAGGCACACTCCTGCTATCCTAGCCTTCTGGTTCCAAGACCAACAGAAGTTCTCCCAAGTGCTCTGAGGGGTCCAGTTTTCATTCATGGTCCTGCAAGAGCAAGGGACAGCAAACTCTAGCTCATGGGCGAAATCCAGCTGCTGCCTATTTTGGTGAATAAAGTGTTAGTGGAGCATAGAGCACCCATCTGTTTTCATATAGTCTATGTCTGCTTTGTGCTACAATAACAACTGAGTGGTTGGAATGCAAAGAGACTAATAGCCTGCAAAGCCTGAAATAGTTAGTATCTGGCCTTTTAACAGAAAGGGTTTATCCATCCTGGTATGGCAGAAACAAGATGAGCTGGAATTAGGAGACTGGGTCTCTGTACTGGCTCTGTCACTGACTTGCTCTGTATCCCTTGGGAACTCATAGCTCCTCTCTGGCCTCTTGTGCATGAAGGGACTGTATTCGTTTTGTTGATTGAGTTCTAACAGCTTAGCCTCTCTTATTCTATTGTTCAATCTCTCTAGGGATTCTTGCCCTGAGTCCAGAGACTCATCTGTTCAGGGAACTCTACATATTTATGTATGGAGGACCAGCAGAGAAGAATGCTTCATCTTAAAGCCAATGTCACTCCTAGGGGGACCCAGCCAGTCACTCAGAGAGCAGAGCTTAACTTCTCAGGACACTCTAGGAGCTATGTCTCTTGCTTTTGACTGATCCTCATTACGCTGTATACTGCTACCTTACATGTGTGCGACATACAGAGAGCAGTGCCCTCCCTCTGTCACCCACTTGACCGTCACA